TGAAGCAGATCTACAGGAAATGTTTCCCAGTGCCTAAATGTGAGGCTTTGACACACGGCCCACAAGTTCCTCTAACTACTTTTACCCTGAGAAATGTTTCACTTAGCTGGTTCACGTAATTGAACAGCTGCATTTCAGCTGACGGACTCATGGCGGTCAATACCAATGAAGCTTTTGTTGGCTTGCGAAGTCAGCGGAAGACATGATGTGATTCTGGCAACAAAAAGACTAGCGTACAGCACATCCTTGGCTATGAGTACAAAAGCTGGCCTCTTTGAGTCGACGACATCCGATGATTGCCGGCGTTCGACCATCGCTGTTTGGGGAGCACTCCTTGCGTTCGGTGACAGCTAAGTGTGAACACTCACGGGGTACGGCGAGGCGTCCGCGGAATCGCGAGGCTGAACTCTTCCGCGAGGCAGCTGCTGTAATAAACGCGTACTTGTCGTACATCCCACGAATTCAATTTAACCATCACCCAAGATATGCTGTTTGTTTTGGTTGGACAAGAGGAGGGGAAACGAATGAAGTGGGAACAGAGAATGAAATACGTTGATAACCTGTTGATAATGGAACCTCCGGATTTCAAGAAGAAGCCCAGAAAACGTATATTCGTGGTCGGACACCCTGTAAGATGTGGTTGCACCCATGTGGATCTTGTTGCTCACCCTTACTCATGCATTAGAGGTTGTGAACGATTTTACACACTTCCGTGGTTGTATTAGCTTTGACGGAAGTGTGTCTGATGAAGTCACTGCACGAATCTCAAAGACCAGAGTCACGTTTATTAATTTGCGTCACTTGTGGCGTAAAAAAGACATACCATAAGGATCGCGTGTACCAGGCCACAGTATGATTGCGAAACACGGCCTCTGCGGACAAATGATGTGGGGCGTCTTCAAGTTTTTCACCAATGATGCCTCAGAAGCGTTGCCGATGTCGGATGGTGTCAACGGATTAGTAACGAGGTAATTAAAAAAGAGCTGGCTGGTTACGCGGCAGGTAATTCAATCTTAGAAAACACTCAGTACCATCAACTACGGTGGCTCGGCCATGTGTTACGTATGCCGAAACACCGTCGTACAGAGACGAGTGTTGTCCAACGCGAGTCATTCGGAATGGCTCAAACCGCGCGGGTGACAGTGTATAAGTTGGTAGTAGGTTACGAAGACCCTGGGTTGGTTTTTGGTATGGTCCGCCTTCCAGGACGGGATCGCCGTGACCCCTCCTGAGCTTTGCTATATGTAAGAAATGGCGTTTGGTCGATGTCAGTGGTGTTGGTGCCGTCAATTTCTTTCCAGATTGTCTGATTGAGCGCCTGGGGGTGCAGTCACCTCGGAATGCTCGACATAGGCTAGCACTAGGTCCCCTTCCTCATCTCCTCTTTTTTTTACTGTAGGGCTTTAAATATAACTGGACGAACCATTTGACCGCCCACAGTTTGCTATCACAACATATAGAATATCATTCACTACGAGAAAACAGGTACAGGTTCTCTGCAATCCAGACATAGTGATCAATGGCCCCATAAAACTTTTCTACTGTGACAATAGCTCTTCGAATGCAGTATCGTGTGGGCGATCATCTCTCCAACTCATGACCAAAACGGACATTCACACCAGCATGCGTTTTTGCGGATGATTGCGTTTCATTAGCACATCCAAAGGCAGAATTGCAAGGTCCATCGGAGCACTTTACCCGGGCAGCGAATCGCCTCAGTTTCAATGGGAACGTCCTCTATTAAAATGCCTTGTACTCAAATTACCGATCGCAGAACAGCACGTCGTCAAGATTTCTTTTATATATATATATATATGTTGATCATGAACAAAATGTTTGGATTTCCAAGGTGATTGTCATATTCACTCTTTCACTTAAGGTCGTTTGGAGCAAGCAAAATCTGCGCCTGGGCACCATGGTCGTGGCATATCGGGCTGTCATACCGTCTTCACTACTGTATGGCAATGAAGCATGAGCGCTCTACCGACAGAAAATGGGAAAGTTTAACATTTCACTTAAAACGCCCGGCTCAATCACTAGAATGAATCCAAAACAATGAAATTCTCAACCAAGCTCAACAGGATTGAGTGCACTCAAGACAACCATACGGTGCAGAACCAATCGCCGAAAATCAATTTTTAAGTAAACTCATCTACGAACAGCTGAAAATGGTAATCTTGCTTTCAGTCCTGACACATGACAAGCTCGACACACATGTCCTTTGAGTCCCAACGACGTCTTTTTGTTGCCATAAGTGATATAAACTGGCTGACGCAATTCCATTCTTTGATCATCTTTGATGTCATTGTTAGTTTTTAATATAGCGTTGTCTAAACTTTTGGATACCACATGTCGAATAATTAAGCACGGGTTAACGTCTCAACTGAGGCCACTGGGGCACACTGCACTCACTGTAGACTCATGGTATGATAATGTCAACCAGAATAGTGGTAAATCAGGCAACGTCGTGGGCTTACTAGAACCCTGTCGAATTCGTGCAACGCCCGGCAAAATAACGGGATCCATGAAGAACTTATAAACTGAATCAAGTGGCGACTGAGATAATTATTTAATGTTTTGAAAACCGACTTCCAGTACCCCATTAGGAATCGTTTTAGAAAGAATAATTTCAGGACTACCTTGTTGTACGAAAGGGTTAAGCTAGCTTATGAATAAATCGTGTTTTGCAGAGGGGGAAGTAGATGAATTAACTTAACTAGGAAATTTTTGTTGCCAGCATGGCTTGTAGGAACAAGCAGCTAACCAAAAGTGTGTAATCCGAATAAACGCTTAATTCCTTAAATGATCCTATCCAGACTTGGGCAGTTTGGTGATAGCTCAGCTTCCATGCTTCCTTCGAGTTACATGACACTCGCTCGTAAACAGGCACGAAAATGCACCTAAAAAGGCAGAGAAAGCTTTCTGGGATGACGTGACCACAAGTGACTTGGTCGAAATACAGCGTTAAAAGGCCATGCACGGCCGGGTACACCTTACGCCCAGGCAGTCTAACGCATCATTCTGCGCAGTCTGTGGCAACAGACCTTAGGAGCAGCGAGGACCAAAATTATCAGAAGGCGAAACATCCTTCGGAGCAGAGAGGACCAAAATTATCAGAAGGCGAAACATTCTTGTATTGGGGTCTGACCAAAGTGCACATTACACGGGACGACACACGTTCATTAATACCGGCAAGGCTAGAGAAAACGCACACCAAATATATTTTTGGTCGCTGTGAGATTGGATTTTGACAGTTCATCATTCCTGATTGCTCGTTGTACAGCAATCAACCGAAACGACCTCCATCTAGGAACGACAAAGCATCACAACTTTCAGTACTCTTATGGATTCTATAACGCCAGAGATTTGCAAGCTTTCTATGGGCCATCAAATTTGAACACGTTTCTGGACATATCGGATAAAGACTAACAAATGACTTATCCATTCACGTTTATGACACTTTAAAGGTCTTAACCTTCGGTCTGCAACCATGAGCTCACGACCGCGATAGCTCGAATAGTGAGGAGAACTGTCTGAACGATAACCGAGCAACAATTTGTGTCATACAGTGAAAGCAGCGGAAATCCGCCAAAATGCCATCTGATTTTGCAGGTTGCTAAAAAGTTTTCTTCTCTCGCCTCTTAATTTATTTTCTCAAAATTACGTTACACTTTGGGGTACAAAAAGGATGGAAGCTACCTGTAAACAGACACAGATACAAACATGAAAAGTTTTCGCTGACTACCTACGTCCGAGTACGTCTACAAACAGCCTCACTTGGCAGTGTGCTGGTAGGCGTGCCTACTACAGCATTTCATGGAGCCTGTTGACCATAGGAGATCCTGGGAAGATTTCGGTCGAGATTCTGTTCTTTAAGTTTAGGTCAACCTATGCCGAAAAGTCGAACTGTCATCCTAATTGGGAACCATAAGCAGTGCACACTTCACGAATCTCCAAGGCAACCTCTCAACCGGTTCAGCTACCAGCGGCTGATCAGCAGTGTCATAAAGTATTTTAAACAATTAAAAAATTTGAGTTTATGATATGGTAAAAGATATGATAAGAAAGACCTGTATTAACCCAGCGACCTCAAGATCTTACGGCAGGACTCCAAGTCCAGTTTTATAACAAACGACCAGTAGGATGGGCGAACTGCCAGCTGCTGCATCAGCTGCCACATCCTCATCTGTCAAAAAACTCTCGGTAACCATGTATCCACGAAAGCGATCCATTCTGTGATAACATGTACATGAACGAACTAGGATGATCCAACTTCAACTATGGAATTTGTACTCTTTCAAGGGCTGTCCATCAACCACTGAGAAGTGATCACAATGCCTTTGGCTGGAAATGAAGTGTCTAAGAAGCAAGAGAATGTCGTTTACAATGCCTTTGACTGGAAATGAAGAAGTGTCTAAGAAGCAAGAGAATGTCGTTCATATCTGGAAGAACCAAATTCACCGCGTGGGAAAACGTCAAACCAAACTGAGAGCTTCCAAAATGCCATGAATAGCATGCTTGCATGTTCAGCGCCCACAAGCAAAGGAAGGCTCAACAACGACCCTGAAGCCGAGCCTGGAAATACTGCAGGCTAACCGAAGAGGGATACTTATATTACAAACGGGTACGAACCCGAAGTAGAAAAGCTCGAAGCATCCGGGAAAGTTCGGCTAATGACACCACTGTGTCCAATCGTTTATATACTTATATAGAGCGGACAAACTTTCTCTTGATTTCCCTAAGGAACAAGGGTTGTGAGATAGAAACAATAGAGGAAAAACACCTGCTCGCTAGGCGCCAACCTCCAGCTTATGTCCCACCATCAGGTTCGGTATCCGAACCAGTCATCAACAACACCGCCCGAGATTACAGTGCATTCGATCACGAGGGCAGATTTAGAGGGCTCTAGGGTCGTGAAGACCGAACAGCATCGACTGGTACCAGGGGAGCTATCTGTGTTGAGTTGCCCTCCATGTCCAATTTATGCAGATGAAATTCAATCAAATCAGCTGAAAATCATCTAGGGATGTAGATCGCCTTCAGTAAGCTGGAGTGGAGATGGATCTTACAGTTGTCAGCTAACACTTTAAGGTGTGTATGCCTAGGTAGTGAACAATAAGGTCCGTCTCACGTATATTTTAAATATGAAAGGGCGATTCAAGTAGGCTGGTTTACAAGAAACCGACGTGTGACACTGAAAAACCAAGAGGCAGCTCGTGCTCCTGCTCAAAGAATGATGGGGGTGATCAACAACTTCTCACCAAGGAAGTTCTAACCGCCATGCGGTGCACATATTCGGCGTCTGGAATACAAGGGACTCGTGCATCTGCGAGCAAAATGAAGAGTGTAGTCGGTCGCACGGAGTCTGGTCTAACTAATGAGGAATGTACCACATGAGGGTCGAATGTATACTCTGAACCTAGCTCCGCTGTCCCATATAAGGGTCACAGGCAGCCCCACCATTATCCGAAGGAGCCTTTGCAATAGCATAGCCAAGAACGAGACTTCCCCTGCCGTACAGACGAAACCAGAGAGGTATAGGTTCACCGTAAGTGCACGTAGAGCGCGGACGATAATGACGAGGCACAGACTATCCCAGAACGCCTGCAACCTTTAGAACTCCTTACCCAGTGAAGTGACAGGAGGATTGTATGGGAAAATTCAGAAACAACGCCTGATGAGGATATGGCTTCGTGAGTCCAAGCTCCAAAATCACTAGAGGATGAAGTATGAATGATCAAGCCCAACTCCCCATTGTCTCCAATCAACACATACTCAATAACTCCTGAGTGATTTAATATAAGTTGCGGTACCGCTGTTGGCATGAATGCAGCCTTATTGTTTGGTGATTTACGGACAGCAGATGAGAGTGAACACTTCCACTCACTTACCCGGATAAAATTCGTCTTGCTTGGAAATTTTCACCTTGGTATTCGTATCTTTCTGGATCTTCCCAATAGCTTCACCATACTTGCCTATGACTGCGCCCGCAGCTATTGATGGAATGAGCACTTTCAAGTGTACGTTGTCATCTGGAATAAGACGGAGAGTTGCGTCACAAAAATAGAACTCAAAACCCAAATTATCGAATACGAACTGAAAAACGCACCACAATTTGCACGTTTAGGCGTTGTCTCTGGCAATAAAACATCATCTGGAGGGCGCTTCCGAGAATCGTTGCTGTCGTCGGAACTGGAATGACTTCCAGACATCAGACTTAAAATCAAGTGTATTGATACGTGCCCTCCCCAACCAATCCACAAAAAAGGACCATTACGACATCACGTAATCGAGCTTCGTGCCTTTCAGCAACGGACTCGAATATAGGATGAAACATTAGCCCTCTGATTGGCTGGTGGTTTTCTCACAAAAAACGTGACCTTGAGTGGGTTCTCTAAATCCACCAGGTGCAGCCACACAGATTTCGTTCTTGTCCGCCGACAGGGCCTCAACGTTGTTTATAATGATGGTGCATTCCAAGATGTAGGCAAATAATATAACCTCCGAATATATCCTTCGGGAGGGTTGGTGGGGTTGCTCTGTACTTAAGGTGCAGCCAGATTTCGTTCTTGTCCGCCGACAGGGCCTCAACGTTGTTTATAATGATGGTGCATTCCAAGATGTAGGCAAATAATATATATAACGAATATATCCTTCGGGAGGGTTGGTGGGGTTGCTCTGTACTTACATGCGGTCCTACCAATCCCGATTGTCCTCTCTGACGCCACGCCTGCACCCTTTTCCGATGCACTGTGAGTCCAAATCCCGCTGCGCGGGTCCGATTCTCTCCTTCTCGGCGTGGTCTACCGTAGCCCTTCGAGTCCCCTTGAAGATGACCAATTCTTCATACAAACCCTTGAGCAACTCTGCCCCAACTACCACTTCACTCATCTCCTGCTGGTAGGTGGCTTCAACGCCCCAAAGGCCTCCTGGATTGAGCTCCAGCGCGTCGAATCAGGCGGACTGTTTGCAGCGGCGCTGTTTGAAGTCGTTCAACAGAGCGATTGGACCCAACATGCCGTTGCACCCACCATATACTGCACAGGCCAACTACCATCACTCCTGGATTTGGTCATCACCAACGAAAGACACTTTGTTGATCAGGTAACAATTAACGCTCCACTGGGACATAGCGACCACTGTGTGCCGGCCTTTGATTTCATCTGCTATTGGGCCGGAAATCCCAAACCTCAAACGTGGTTTCGAGACTTCTGCCGTGCAGACTTCTCAGGAATGCGCATCTTCCTTGAACAAGTCACACTGAGACCAGCTCCGGTGGAAGAACTATGTAAGACCATTGTCCAGAAAGTCCACGAGGCTGACGCGACGTTCGTCCAAAAAAACCGGCACGCACTCGGATGAACCGCAGGATGCCAAAAAGGATTCGGCGACTTCTGGAAAAAAGATCCCACCTCTTTTTCAAAAAGTTGACTACATGGGATACAGAAGATGAGCTGGCATTTCGTAAAACGCGGAACCGCTGTAAATCGGAAATCCTCCAATGGAGCATACGAAAACAAGCCACCATTCTGGACCTCGCTCGAAAAAACAAAAACGTACTGTTCAAGTACATGAGACATCGCCGCAGAAACAAGCCATCCGCGTTCTCCTTGAGGGACAGAAACGGAGAACCGACGAACGACCCAACAGCGATATCTGAGGTTTGCAGAGAACACTATGCCTGTCTATACTCAGCCCCAGCGTCTTCGTCACATCCATTCTTATCAAGGCGGAACTACGAAAGGCCTCTAACCCACTTGGTCTTCATGGTGGAGGACATTTGTCAACTCTTGCACAAGATCAACCCATTCTGCGCGTTGGGGCCCGACGAGGTCCATCCAAGGATCCTGAACGTTCTTGCGAGTCCATGTCTACTTTTTGCGGACGACTTGAAATCCCGGAGTTCCAATGCCAGTGCCCCCCAAATGGATGTAAACGCTGTCAAGCAGTAATCGTTGAACTGGCACCTTTCTCTGAATGATGAAAAGTGCGTCCATATGTCATTTGGAGGGGACCGAACGAATGCGTTTGTTGTACATGGTGAGAAAGGATCAGAAAACATCATGAGGGTAGAGGCCAAAAAGGATTTGGGCATTTGGGTCCCCTCAAACTTGTCCTTCTCACTGCACCATGAGAAATCGGCCCAAAAGGCATTCGCCATTTTAAGGATGATCCAACGCACCTTCTCCCGTATTACTCGCATGGACTTCCAAACGCTCTATGGGACCTATGTCAGACCGCTCCTGGAGTACGCCAACCAAGTTGTCTAATCAGGACGCACGAAAGACGTCACCCACAGCGAGCGTATCCAGCGGGCCGCTACGAGAATGGCTGCCAGCCTCAAATCCGTGGACTACGAAACGCGTCTCGCGATGCTTGATATCTTTCCCCTGGAGCACCGTCGCCTCTGAGGGGACCTAATTCTTACTTATGCCCTGTTTGGACAAAGCTTGGCAAACGGGTTTTTCACCGTTGACCCAGCAAACACACGGTGAGGACATAGTAAGAAGATTTACAGGCTAAGGGCGCACACATTCATTAGACAAAATATTTTCTCATTTCGGGTAGTAGCTGCGTGGAATGACCTTCCTCCGACGGTTGTCCACGCTCCTTCTAGAACCCAGTTCAAAGCACTATTAGACATTTAGTTATGCGAATCCTTGCGCTGGCAAGCATACCGTCCCGCGCTGAGAACATAAAGAGCAGTGCTACACTGTTTTTCGCTTCTGCCTTTCAGGTGAACGGCAGCAACTGACCGACCCGGGAAACTTGGCAAAAGCCTCGTTCCTGTGTATCAATCCGTGAATCCGTGACTCAGCCATCTCGGCGTACCTTTCTCAACGCTTCCAGGATGCCTATGCGAGATGTGCCTTCGTAAAAAGGAACCAAGACTACGTGTCACTGCGATCTTTCAACTGAATAAGGGCCCTTTGGGTTGGCGGAATATCAAAACAGTTGGTGGATTGGCCTTACTTGGTTTACGAAAACAAATGATGACATTGGAACCCATCTATGATACGTTAGAAATTGGTTCCGCTTTTTGCTCCTGCAAATTTGTGAAACAGTTCTTCCACTTTCTAATTTATTTACAGAGTTAACACATCTCATTTTATTGTATTTTCCATTCTGACACCGCCTGTTTGCGAAGACCTCTGTCAGATTGCACTCAATTCCTGCGGTGCACCCACTTTCGAGCATGAGGCGGGGCACTGGAAGCTGGTCTCCCTGCAGCTATCGGGGGACCACAACAGATGTGAACGAAATGGCTGTCAATCAAATGTCAGACTTGGACTTCACTGTCACGCGTTCCAGACTTGTCAGCATTTTAAATGCATGTGTTTGTAGGGCGACCGGATTAACCAATTATCTTGCTTCCCTGACTCGCTTTTCTGCGCTAGTTTCCCGTATCTTGCGGGTGCAGTGTACCCCACGGCAGAGACGGTCATTGAAAACGAAATAGACTGTCTACTCCTGAGCGGCGAAGAAATGTTTTATTGGAAATACTCGGGGAAATCAAACTTTCCCTCCAAAATTTAAGAATTTATGAACACAACAGTCAAGCACCCCAAAGGAAAGTCGATAACGAACTTTCCTCCCAAAAAAGTATTAAACATCATCCATTTCAAGTCCGTCGGCTGCGAAAAACGTCACCCAGATCTCTGATGTGGCACTCCAGACACTCAAGGCGCATCCAGTGGACAGGCAAATAAGGGAGAGCAGGATGATCACCTGGTGGTGGTCCTCTAGAGCAAGCACGCACAAAATTGCCAGTTGCGACACTTAAGCCTTCAGCCCCATTTCGTCTCAAGCGTCCTCTCCGATCGTGGACACAATCGTCGCCCATGACCCCGATGTGTCAACACACGAAACTCGGCAGCAGTGTGCTGAAAATTTCTGCATACACTGAGTTAGCAACGATAAGCAGGGCGACTTGGTGCTCCACAAAAACACGGAAGGAAAGCGACTGTGGTTGAATAAGCCGCATGATCCCCGCTCCACCAAAAGGTTTTAAATAAAAAGAAAGTGTAATCCCTGTGAAGCCGAGGATTTTGGAAGTGCCACCAAGGTGAATACCACTTAAGGTGTGTTGTATCGTGCGGTGGCCGAGCTATGGGGTTATGCCTGCGCTGCGCCTGCCGGACTGCGCGATAGGGAGGAGACAGAGAACTGCGGACACGGCTTTATTGTCAGGACAAAACGTGCAGAGCGTCTGCGTTAATATATAGGATGACTACTTGGCCAAATATGGTCGTTCACTTGTTCGCTCCGTACAGCCAATGGTGGTGTTCCGGTCGTGAACATTCTCAGGCCCACTACGCTGGTNGGTGAGAGCCGTGTTTCGTGGGAGCCGCCAACTCACCTACTTTCCGGACATGTCGAACCGATGGTGATCTTGGTGATGCGTCACTCTCTGTACATGTACTTTTTCTTCTGTCTGGTCGCGCCCTGACATTCCCCCCTTTTGGAGATAGGTCGTACGTCGGTCCCTCCCCTCGAGATTTCAACAGTGCTCGTTTAAAAGTATCCACAAATCCCTCGGCTTGGCCATTTGATTGAGGGTGGTACGATAAGGGCTAAGTGCACCGGCTGCGACCTTCTGAGTTTCTCTTCCAAACCGAGTCAGGCAGCTTTTTGAATATATTCGCTTTCGTCACCTGTGCCTGGTCCTGGATATTCGAAAAGCCTTTGACCAGGTCCCCCGTGCATCCCTGCTGCAAAAACTTAGTACCGTTGGCATCACTGGAAACCTGTTTCAGTGGCTCGCCTCCTACCTATCTGACAGGACACAAGTAACACAAATTGGGGACATACAATCATCACTACTATCGATCACTGATGGAGTCATCCAAGGAAGCGTGTTAGGCCCCGTCCTCTTCTTGCTGTTCATCAACGACGTCTTCAGTGCCGTGTCCTATGGTAAAGTCTTCCCCTTCGCGTACGACATAAAAATAGCGTACACATTCCCTCCGTCAGCACGAGCTCTTACGTTTCACCAGATTCAGCAAGAATTAGACTCGCTGACTGGCTGGTCAAACGACTCCGGCCTAAGCTTCTCCTCCACGAAATCCTACATAACTTCCTGCCGCTGCTCCCTACCGGCTGATGCCTTCACAATAAATGGAAATCTCATCACTCATTCAGCGGATATCAAAGATCTTAGCCTCAGATACCCCTGTACATTTAACTTCTCCTGCCAGGTGCAGTTTCAGGTTGCCCGAGCACGCAGGCTCAGTTTTTTAATCCTGCGCTCCTTTCACCTTCCAGACACAATGGTTGC